CCGTGTCATGTCCAAACGGAAGGGTCCACGTCAAGCTTCTTCCCGGTCCCCCGGTCATTAATAACGTATCCCCGCCGCTGTGAGCCGCGGGACTTTTACCCAGGCTATAAATCGAGCCTACCCAACTCTAACCCTTCTACACCCAGGTCTAGCAACTCCTCTCGCTTTTGAGTCCATCCTCGCCCCTCCCTCTCCTGCACCTCCCGAAAACCCCCGCACGACCTTCACCTCCCATCCAGGTAACAAGACCGAGTTAGCATCGTGTGAGTACCATCCGGACACTTCCCGTCTCTCCCAGACGGTCTGCTAACTCGTCCGATGCGCGAGGAAGACGATGATGTCGACCCAGAACGTTGGCAACCGTCCCTATCAGCACTCGCACTGTCCAGTCCAAGCTATTCCAACCCGCTCACTGCCAGTCACCTATACCAACGCTCGGTCGAACACCCAGCCTGGCACAGGCGCTACAGCAGGAGTCGCATCCAGTGCTCAAAATGGCAGCTACTCTGCGATGCGGAAACGTGAAACAGTGTCAACGGTACCGCCTCATCGCGAATGACGAATCAAGAAACACAAGTGAAAGCTTGAATATTTGAGATACTAGGATAGGATGTGCGGTCTGACAATTGTGCTAATACCCTACTCGCTGTCGACATTTCCAATTGTTCATTTCTGTCCTGTCTTCACACCTGTTACCGTCTCCTCGTTGTGCTCCCTCGCCTCTGATGCTCTTAGTCGTACCATCATTAGAAACTGACCGTGCATTGCTAAGGTTCTTGGATGTTTGCGACGCGTGGCGGACTGTGCCCCGGTCCATAAGAGATACCGGCCATCCATCTCTGAGTAGAGACTCTCATGGCCTGAGACATACTGTGGAGCTGCATGAAATATCGAGAATCGTACGTTGAGTTTCGGTCTTTGATTGGGCTGCAGATGGCTTGGAAGGAGTCGAATGCCGTTAAGGTTGCCGGGAGCCGCTCCATTTATTGCTAGCCGATTCCATATGGCTATGAGGTACTTTCGCCCATCTTACCTTTCCTACGACTGTTGAGCCCTCCCTTTCCTCTCACTTTGAAATACTGGTAGTAAGCTACTCTCGGGATATCTCTCTCATGCTAGCGCTCTCTTTGATATCCGTCCCCATGAAGCGACCCGACGGGGGAATTACGGCCAGCGGCGGTAGCGAACCCTGGCAATTGTGGGGCCCTCTCTCCAGGGGTTTCCTTCGCCATGCGGCATATATATTGGCCTACTTGGCATTGCAGTGCTTATCTTATGAACGTATCTTACTCTATTCTGAATGCATTTAGGTGAACTCCTGATAAGCTCGGCAAATCTACGAACACGCTCCCTTATGTCGCAATCAACAGCTAAAAATGCGTACCATAAGCTTTAGAGACAGTGAAAAGGGAGGTATTGGCGACTGGTGCTCAGGTGTCTTGCACAACTACAAGGCTCCCGGCTGGAGCCCCCATCCCGACCGCTGGTTGTGTAAATTTATACGCCATGTCCTCAGGATATTCGCAAGATATGTGAGAAGCTTGAAATATTATTGAATCAATGGGTGCAAACGCATTTGGAGAATCCCATTGATGCTCTGAGCTCTGTTGTGAATATCAGGAGGTAGTGGGAGAGGGCGATTCCCAGTAGGAGAAATGCCACCGCATATCTTCCTTTGGCCCTTATAGACTTGACTGTAGTATGAAGAGTAGTTTGATTAGCATTGAAGATTAAATAAAATGGAATTGCCCTGAGGTAATGCATGAGGCGCTAGCGTTAAGCCTAGATAGTTACTTGGGTTGCTCACCTTTCAACCAAATCTTCTCTGGTATATCGGTAGAACATCACCCTGTCAAACCACGTGATCCAAAAGTCACGTGAGGAGGTCGGTGAAGAGCTGGGTTCGACTCCCAGGAGGAGAGATCGCTTTTTGCATCGTCGGGGTAGCTGTTACTGCGGCCAGTCCTTTATTTTAGCCCCGGGAAGCGCTGCTACGCGCCTGACGCGACCATTTCCCACGCTGCGCCACCTGAAACACTATTTTGCTTTACTCTCTTTCTTTTTCTAACACCCGGTCCCGAGACCAGCGCAGAAACCCCGGTCAAACTTGAAATGCCGCGCCGATACTCGGCAAGCGGTAGAAACAACCGCGATTACCAAAAAAGGAACCCGCTCCGACGCCGGACAGCACCCTTTCCTGACCCACTGCCTTTGACAAATGCTCACGAGTACACATCAACCATATTACGATGTAAAGGGCGTTCGTGGGCTGTGGAGTGCTCCCACACCCAAGCCACGCTGCTCTCGTGCTCTACGGTGCCCTCCCTTAGTCTTATCGCGCATGTGTGAACATCTCCGGAAGCCCGAGAACACGCCTGTACCGTGCGCCTCGGACGCATGTCCTAAATGAGCAACGGAGAGAAATGAAATATCAATACACTTTACTTTGGTACGAGTAACTACATATATAGGCTCTGAGGGCGATTCGAATAGAGCTCCTCAAAGCTTGAAGACTCCCTGATTGAGCCGGCCTCGGCGGTAGACAGCGTCGCTTGCTTTCTCCCGGTAGCTCATCCCAAAAGACATCCCCATTAAAGATGTGCAAAAATACCTCTATCCGCCCGCTGGAGCGCTTCTCTGAGATGGTCTCTTACACTCTCGTAAAAGGACGAAGCACCCTTCGGTAAGGAATCTGGTGCCTTGATTAAGGCCTACGCTCATCGACGGTGATGAACCACCGATAGTCAGCTACCTGTAGTTGGCCAAGCCTTTTGCAACAGCTTGAAGAACCTTCCTCTTCAGATTGGTGAGGAGTGCTGCCTGCTTTACGATTTGGCCCCTTTTGAACAGGACTCTCGCCTTTCTCCGCAGGCTGCGCCACCCATATTGTTATTGTAAGCGATGCTCTCCTGTCGATGGCAGTGCTAAGTCTACTATACAATCTTCTACAGGTTAGTTTATCTTACCCAGGAATGCATCGCATTGAGGGCGATGCTAGTATGGAGCTCAATGGAACCAAATTTGACCTGTTCCTCCTCTTTAAACATTTCGATTGTGGGTAGCGACATTCCTCCTGACGAGACCTCTAAGATAACCCTTCCCTTGCTCTTTCAGATCGCCACAACGACAATTCGGTCAATTTCACTATCATCAACGACTTTGACCTGGACTTTACCGATTCCACCGGAGTGAGAAGGATTATTCCAAAGGTCGACGCGGGTCGAGACTCGATCGTGCGTTGAATCCCATTGAGCTAGTCTCCCAACACTTATTAAGTCTCGTTACTCCATATAGAGGACTAAAATCCAGCGAATTATGCGGACCGCGGAGCCTACCTCCAAAATCGCGTTCTTCTGTAAACCTACCTTCTTGGCATACTAGGTTCCAGCACCTTGCTAACCTAATTGGGTGACAGATGGGAGTCACGGCGAATACGCCGAGGTCAACATGATGGGTGGTGCAGATGGAGAGGAGAGCGACTTCCAATGCATCATCGCTGGCGATGGCCGGAGAGTATACGGAAAGGAACTTCGTTCTTGGTTTTGCGACGCAAGCTATTCGTCAGTCGCTGTCACGGTAAGAGCCATCCCACCATATTACTTTGCACAACTCACTGAAAAGTCTCTCCTAGGCCGTATTTGATGCGTGTCATAGCGCAGGTTCTATGGGTAAGGTTCCTTCCTTCATCAACTTGGCTTCGGTTGACGTTCTGTCACGGAAGGTCTCCCTTATTCCTATCACGCTAAGGGAAATGCGTCTAAACTCTTTAATGTTTCTCGCAGGAGGGTCCCTATTCCATTGGTAAGAGATTGTTTAGGCACCGAAATTGTCGATGATTAACTCAGTGCGCTTCACCGATATCAGGTCCAAATCTCAGCGGCACAGATAGATCAATCTGCTTACTCTCGAAAGTTTGCTGATGGATATTACGGGCAGTTAACCCATTGTTTGATCCAATATCTCAGAGGTCCATTTTCTTTGACCATTTGCTTGCTCTGCTCTGACCATCCGGCGCTTAATTAGATATTGAGTGCCCCACCATCGAAAGTCTTGTTGCATACCTTGATACGAACTACGACCCCACTAGGGAGCAGGTGCCTCAGGTTTGCGCCTCACACAAGATTAGATGACCGGGTTCGTTATTCCAGGTGCCCATGATTTAGGGGACCTATTCCACGTCAGCTACGATCTAAGGATTACATGTCTCCAAGTCATGAACGGGAAGGACCTTTCACCAATTTCACATCAAATAAACTCAACCTATAACTCCCGAAAGCAGAGTTGCTTTTATTCCAATTCCACTTCAGAATCCGCTACGCGTGTAGCACGGGGAAGTGGTTCTTTCCCACGGTACGCCACCTCGCATCCCCAACGACATCTAATGCTCTCCCTTCTTCGAATCCTAATGGTCGGGACCTAAACTTAACACGGCAACTTCAGCCTGAATTTGTGCTGGTTTTTCCTGCCGGCTCATACGGTTACTGATAGGAATCTCTGGAGAACTATAGGCGGTTCGAAAACCTCATGGAAGGTCCGCAGTTTGGTCGAGGTCCTATGAATGGGTCCAGTGGCAAAGAGGTGGTCGGCACTAGTGCTATATTTCGTTCCCGTTAACGAGCACGAGGCGAGCGGCAGGATTAACCGCCCGGCCTAGAACCTGTCAGGGCCTGGACACGGAGTTACAACAACACCCACATGTACGCTCGCCACCTCTAGATATGCCGTCTCGCCTACAACCAATGATTTTGCATCTCGAGGCTCTGCGCCCGCTATAGACTCTCGATTGTGTGTGCTCGTTTCTCGAGAGAGGCAGTGCATGCAAGCGCCTGGTATAATCGTTGCTCCGGCCATGCTGCTCGTGCATGTAGCGGTCCACGGTGATGTGATCGCAACCACAATAATTAGACGCTTAGACTGCTTTGTTATCAATTGGGATGGCAGCCGTCAAGAAACGTAAGACGATTCGAATTGGGTTACAATTTGTTGTCCTGTCCTATTGCTCGAAGTGGTGCACAGTGTCCTCGCCCGTGGGGCGCGCGCGATGCAAATACTTCGACTGAATCTGAAGTTTATATACGAGGCAAATAGAACGGCTTGGTTTCCTTTCTATCGGCCAGCTTCTGCGTCACAACCAGTATGACGCAGTCAGATACACTCGCATCCTGTGCTCCGGGCAGCATTTCCGAGCCAGCTTCACGAATTCATCACTCAGAGTCACCTTAAAAGACAAAACACTCACTCGCGCCATGGCTGTGGCAGGTTGGTGAAGGAACATATTCGAGATGGTAGCCCCAAACCCCAAGCCGCACGTTGGAGTGCCCATCACTGTCCCCCGAAGTGTCGGCCGAGAAGTCTAGAGTACGCGTTCAAGGCTGCTCAGAATCTTAGTGTAGTAGATGTCTTAAAGAAACTACATGAGAAATCTACTCTAAGAATCAGCGTCGCCCTCAAAAACGATTTTCTGTAGTTTGGCCGCTCTAAGTCAATGTACAAGATAGATGCATCAGTGCTCGACACTCACAACAGAATCCCAGCCTTGCGTGTCAGGTCTGGAGGGTCTTAGCCAACGAACAACTTTAGTTGACATAACCACATAGGGTCGAAGCCTCTCGGTACCTAAAGCGATTGTGACGTAGGGTTCTTAATTCTTATCAAGGGACTTACCCCCGTCGGGCTTGGGGTATTCGGCCAAAATTTCCCCATCTTTGGAGATTGTTCAAACTTTCTGCTCCACCGCCCAGGACGTCCTTGATGTTGTAGTTGAAAATGAACAACAGGTTGCAACACTGCGGCTCGACTGGTGACTCCCTGGCCTTCAATTCTATAGGAGAGTCTTACCTTGAAGTTGCGAGCCCATAATGCCCGTCGTTTCTATCGATGCCGGCCCAAACAAGTGCGAATGTATCGGTGACTCGAGCTCGTGGAAGTTCGTTGACACCATCCTGCTCGGACAACAATGACCCAAAACGTCCCAGCGACTAGGACAAGAGCTAGACAAGCTTACAAGGATTTGAATTTTAAACGCCCCGCTCACAGATGGCGGGGTGAATGAAACGGCTAAGGCGTCGTCGTGGGTCTCAGATATGACTGTGTACAAGCCTTGACTGGTGACAGTTTCCGCAATATAGCCGAGAGAGCTACCATTGGTATATCGAACTCTCAAATGCCCCCTTCTTACTATAGGACTGGAGCTTGCTGTCTATCATAGGTTATTGAGACTGTGGGTATCTGTAGGAAACTCGGATGTAGTAAATGAGACTCACTGAAGACGGAGCGCCGGGTGTGGGGATGGCGGTAGATGAGGCTGAGGTCGGAATGGTATGCGAGCTTCAGAAATCACAGGTTATCGACTGCCAAATAAGCTCATAATTACACCTACGTCGATGCTGAAGCAGCTTTTCTCCCGAACCTCGCTACCAAAGCAGGTCGCAACCGGCTCCAGTCATTTTGCGCGGTTTCATCAAGTTGTTCATACCAGTAGAAAGCATCTCCAATAAAGCAAGTGGAGGCAAAGCCTGCCATCCACTCGTTGTCGCGATGCTTACCTTGATCAAACGCTCGTCGTCGGACTGTGGCCACAAAAACTTCACACTCTTCGGGACTTTCCCCCTTAAAATAAAGAGGGTCTGAATCTAGATGCAAGAGCGCTCAGAGGATGATGTAGAGCCGTGTATCAGGCGAGGGTGACTAACTTGGATCGGCCATCCTTGTTGTAGGCGGAGTGGCTGTGGCTGGTGGGTGAGAGCCGTCCAAACATGGGTCAACACGAGGTTGTCCTCATTTGTCGGAGGCCGGACCGTTGACCGACTGCATCCGGGTATTTACCAAATGTTGTAGCCACAAGAGCGCGCAGTACTCCGATCATCCACTAGCCTCTTCCGCTTGAATCCAAGAGCAAAGGGTTGTGTCCAATTTATGTAAA